CCACTTCCCTGCACTCCTCGCTCCCCGCACGTTGATTGCCCTCCCCGAGGCCGTCCGCCCGAAGATTGTGCGTTCATGCCGCTTGCATCCTTTCTGGCCTCGAGGACCGAATTCATGAGGGTCGGGCCGAGCATCGTGTAGGTCTTGCCGCTGCCAGTCATGCCGTACGTCAGCACCGTCGCGTTGTCCGCCACCGAACTGCGCAGCCGCTGGCGTGTGAGCGTGTGTGTGTGTGTTTTTGTGTGTGTGTGTGCGTGTGTTTGTGTTTGTGTGTGTGTGGGTGTGTGTGGGTGCGCGCGTGTGTGTTTATGTGTGTGCTCGCGTGCGTGCGTGTGTGCGTGCATGCGTGCGCGCATGCGTAATTACGCGCGTGCGCGCGTGAATGCGCGCGTGCGCCCGCGTGCATGTGTGTGTGTGTGTGTGCGTGCGGGGGCGCCCACCCAGTGCAACTACCTCGGCTAACGTTTGGTGGGCATCATTGCGCGCCCACTTGCTTAGCGCAGTCCACCACCTACACAATCTGACGATCGGTAAATGTTGTTCTAACGTGTCCCGCCTGAGGCCATAGATGTGGCGGCGCCGAGCAGCATCCGAAACACAAGTGATACGACAGAGCCCTGTACGGGATAGGACAGGGCCATCATGGGCCAAGGACTCTGGAGGCGCACAGAAGCACCAGAACACACAGGACGGCCTCCAGATCGCGAGCAAAGAGCAGGCCAAGCCTGCGCGGGCACACCGGTGCCGACCTCACCGCGGGGGAGCTCCCGAAGCGGGTGGGGCCCGGCAGCCTGGCGATGCGACGCCGCGCCCACTCTGCGGACACGGGGCGAAAATGGGGCGCAGGGACCTCGCCAGGGCGCTTTGCGCCGGCAAGCCCCGCGCCACCCGCGGCACGCGGCCGGAATCCGCAGACCGAGCGCGAGTCCGCTTTCGAAGGCGACCTCGTCAACTGAGACTGGCGCGCCTGGGGGCGGGGCCGGGGCGACTAGGGCGGGCGGCTGTGGCCTTGCGAGCTCGGGCCGCTCCCTCGCCGTCGCTCGGGCGTCCATTCCCCATTCCTGCTCCGGATTCGCGCGCGCATCTCTTGGGGCGAGGTGGCCCGCGGCGTGTCGCGATAGTCGTCGCCGTAAAACGCGCGCGCGCCCGAGCGACGCCAGGCTCCTCTGCCCCCCCCCCCCCGCCCGCCACCCAATTCTGATGGCGGCCTCGCGCGCGGCGCGGGGCGCGGGAGGCCTGGCCACGCCAGGCGCCGCCGCCGGCGGGCCAGCGCCGGCCGCTTTCGTCGGCGGGGCGGCGCCCGGCTCCATCGCGGGCGGGCCGTCGGAGACGCCCTCGCGCGCGCCGGAGGCCGACGCGCCCCTGCCGTCGCCGCCGCTCCTCCTCCTCTCCCCGGGGGGGCCTCCAGCGAACCCGGAGAAACGGCGGCGCGGGCGGGGCAGGTCGGCCACGAGCAGCGCCCGGAAGAAGCGAAGCGGAAACCGCAAAGCAAACCCGACGCTCCCCACCCCCACCCCGCCCCCCGACCTCGACGACGCCCCCCCCCTCCGCGGAGCGGCGAAAAGTGACCGCAATGGACACCGCCGCCTCTGCAAGCTCATATAACAAATCCAGAGAAGGCAAGATTTCTGACTCGCGGGGCGGCGTGACGCACGTGTGCCAACGGTCTTTTTAGCACTGCGCGCAGCCCAGGTAACTGCGCGCGCGCATGTCTCCCAAAACAGCCACATCCACGGAACCGCGGACATTCACAGGGGGGGCGCGACACGCCTGTTCCAGGCGCGCAACTCTGGAGGTGGCAGCGTTGTTTTTTTTCCTGGAGCTCGTCAACCTTCTGCTCGGCCGCAGCCAGTATCCGCCGGCCTCTTGTTCTGCGTCGCTTTGCCAGCCGGAAGCCTGAGCCCGCAGCTTCGCGGCAGCTTCGCGGCAGCTTCGCGCCCGACCTTGAAAAGAAGCGCTCGGGTCCCCAGCTGTTACAACTCTTCCACCCGCAGCTTCGCCCGCCGCTCGTCGTTAGCGTCGGGCTTGTCTTTGTATTTCTGGGTCCCCTTTTTGGGTTTGCCATTGGCTGCTCTGAGTTGGCTGGAAAGCGGCTGCCACGCGTGGCTTCAAAGCAAACTTGAACCTATATTGCGTATCACAGCCACAATAGCAATGAGTATGATGTGTTGCCCTCGGCTCCCCCTACCTGCACAGATTTCCAATGTAGCGATCCACCGCCTGCCGATGTATTATCATCATCATGACAACCATCATCATCATCAGCATCATCCCCATCAGCAACATCAACATCATCAACATCAACACCATCATCATCAACATCGGCATAATCACCATCAATATCATCATCACAACCGGCACCAACATCATATATTCCCTTCTTGGGGCTACTTAGGCAAAGGGCAAACGGAAAAGGAGGTATGATACGAACGATACTACTAGTATAACGGCAAAACGAAACTGTATGATACGTTGTTGACAAACACGTGAGTATATGCATACATATACGTACGTGAGTGCGTACGTACGTACGTATTCATGTATGTATGCATGTATGTGTGTATGTATGTATGGATGGATGGACATACGCCTGCATGTATGTATGTATGTATGTATGTATGTATGTATGTGTGTATGTATGTGTGTGTATGTATGTATGTATGTATGTATGTATGTATGGATGTATGTATGTATGTATGTATGTATGTATGTGTGTGTATGTATGTATGTATGTATGTATGTATGTATGTATGTATGTGTGTGTATGTGTATGTGTATGTGTATGTGTATGTGTATGTGTATGTGTGTATGTGTGTATGTGTGTATGTGTGTATGTTCGTCTGTACGAATGTGCGTGTGCGTGTACGTGTACGTGTGCGTGTGTGCGTATGTGGGCGATTCTCTCGATCGCCTGGATCCGCCGCGTCGCTGCGCGCGTGGACAGGACGCAAACATGTGTGTGTGTGTGTATGTATAACGGGCCTCTGCAATACAGAAATACAAACGTTGCGTCGTTGGGGCCAGCCGGGGCTCCACTAAAAACTGCAGCGGCATGCAAGTAAAACAGATGCGCATTCGTCTAGTGCTGCCTGCAGTGCGATGTGGCACAACGCCCGCGTTTGCTACGAGGTCATGGCTCTTCACGCCGACCCCCAGAGATCTCGACTCCTTCCCCGGGACCGGCCTCTCATCCCGCGTCTTCCATGCAACGGCCCCCTGGGCCCGGGGGGCGGGCCCCCCCTGGAGGCCGAAAACGACGCAGGACGTCCCGCCCGGATGCTGTTCGCAGCGCGAGGAGCTCTGTTATCCCCCCCCCCACTCTCTCCCCGTCGGCTGCGGCGAATGTCTGCTTGACGCTGTCTCGCGCCGTCGTCGCACAAACCCCACAGAGCCCATTGCGCGTTGGCGGCCCAGCACGGCAGCGCAGCCCGATAGCCCTCCAGGGCCCTCTCGACCATCGGGCGCACGGCATTCCAGACGTCCTCCTGCGTGGAAGTGGTGGGGGTGGAGGGAGAGGAGGAAAACGGCGACGTCGTGGAGGAACGAGAAGAGGAGCGAGGAACAACGGGAATGAGGAGGAGCGAATCGGAGAATATGGAAAAGAGGGGGAGGATGAGGAGGAGGAGGAGGATGATGAGGAGGAGGAGGAAGAGGAGGAGGCGGAGGAGGAGGATCGAGACGAAGGAGGAGCACGAGGGGGAGACGGACGGGGAGGGCGAGCATGGAGATAGGAAAAATTTGAGGATACAGCACGAGGGTAAACGGTTGAGGATATGGCAAATAATGAAGAGAGGGCGAGAGGAAGCAAGAGAAAGAGCCAGGGGCCGGAAACGGTCGAGGAGGAGTGGTGAAGAGCGAGGAGGAGCGGTGAGGAGATAGGAGGATGCGCGACAGTCCCGCTGCTCCTCATCTTGCCCCTCCAGCTACTACTCCTTCGTTTCTCCTCCCTTTTCCCTCCTCCCCCTCCTTCCTCAACGACAGCCTCCGATAATCTAAACTCCCTCGCTACTCCTGCTGCTCCTAAGTCCTTTCTGCTCTTCCTCATCCTCCTCCTCTTCCTCCTCCTCCTCCTCCTCCTCCTCCTCTCTCCCTTATCCTCCCCTCTTTGTTTCCTTTCTCCTCCTCCTCCTCCTCCACTCGCTCCTGTCCTTCCCCCCCTTTCCTCCTCCTCCCTCCCCCTTCTCCTGCCGCCCATTATCCCTCTGCTCCTCCTCCTCCTTCTCTTCCTCCTCCTCCACCTCCTCCTCCTCCTCCTCCGCTTCCGCCCCCAAAGACCGCTCAGAACCTGCTCCTGGCGAGTCTTTCCCCCCGATTGGCATCCGACGGGCCGAATCCAGACGCCGAACATTGGAAAAACCAATCCCGTCGGACCTCGTCCCTCGAACCTCCTCGAGGCTCGAGGCGCAGCAGCAGGAACCCCCTCCTCGCCCCGGTACAATTACCAAATATGAGATCTCTTCTCTCACCTCCCCGGTTCCTGAGCGAGTGAGTCGACGCCTCTCCGATCTCTTGCTTTCTGAGTTCCTAGGATCTCGAATATTGCTCTATACCGCCAGCCCTCTGGCCGTAGGCGGTCTAACGATGTCTTTCTTCCCTGTTGCAGATGCCCCTTCTTCCCCATCGGGGAGGTGTTTACCCCTCCCCCTTCCCCCTTTCCTGGAACTGGAAGGGGGGGTTCGCGAGGTGTCAGGGCGTCCAAGATATCCTGAGATGGCTCCAGGAGGTGCAAAGCGATGTAAAACTTGCTATGCGAACGGGGGGGTGCAACGGTGGGAGGAGAGGGGGTGCAATAGAACGGCGGCGGCGGACGGGAACGGGGCCGTCGGGCCAACCGACGGGCTTACCATTGGGAAATATGGGGCGGCGACAGATGGAAATGGGGCCGCAAAACCAACAGACGGTGCAATCGAGGTAGTGCAAACTACTAGGTTGCACTATGTTGCAATTTATGTGGTGCAACTTTAGGTGGTGCAATCAGCAATGTGAAGGAATCTAGGTCGTGCAATCCATGTGAACCGACCGATGTAGTGCACAGCAATGCAGGGCAACTGGAAACAATGCAAATCAATGCACAGCTATTCAAACCAACGCGAAGGAATGCAAACCAATGCAAAGCAAAGCAAAGCAAAGCAAAACAACGCAGTGCCAAACAACGAAACGCAATACATGACACGGCGAAGCACTGCAGAAATGTGCAAAGCGAGGTGACGCAATGCAGCGCAATGCAAAGTAATCACTGGCAATTTCAACAATGGAACGCAAAACAGAGTTACGCAAAACTATGCAACGCAACGCAACAGCATACAATGCAATGCAACGCAATGCAAAGCGATGTACAGCAACACGAACCAATGCCAAGCAAAGCAAAACTATGTAAAGCAGCGCAACGCAATGGAAATCACAGCAACGCAATGCAACGCAAGGCAACGCACTGCGAAGCAATGCAAAGCAACGCAAAAGGTGCAACGCAATGCAAGGCAATGCAACCTCCCACCAGAGAAAATCCCGAATCAGCGAATGGTTTGAAAAATAGTGATATGGTCAGTGGGATCGACTACAGCATCGGTGGTGAGATCGATGGTAGGATCGATAGTGAGGACGATAGAAAGGCCGATCGTAAAAACGGATAGTAAAGTCCATTCAGTGAGATTGAGAATAAGATCGATCGTGAGATCGCTACCGATCGATTGTGAGATCGATAGTCAGATCGATTTCTTCCCAATCCATGCTAGCAATGAAGGGGTCCTAGAGGATCTTGAAAGATTTGGAGAAAATGGGCGGCCGATTTCGGTAGGACGCTGGGTTCCCGGGTTCCCAGTTCCAGGTTCGGGGCAGATTTCGTTGGGCGGCGGGGTTCCCAGGTTTTCGGGTTCCCAGGTTCCTGGTCGATCTCCTTATCGATCGGTCTCACCATCGATCTAATTACCCACCTCTCTACCGATCTTACTATCGATCTCACAATGGATCCGACTATCGATCTCACAATCGATCTAACTATAGATCGCACGAGCGATCTCACGATCGATCTCAGTCTCGACCTCACTGAATCGACTTCACTATCGGTCTCACGATCGGCCTCACTATCGTCCTCACTATTGATCCCACCGTCGATATCACTATCGATCCTACAACCGATCTCAATGTCAATATCATGAATGTTCCAACAATCCACTGATTGTGTTTATCTACAGTGTAATGCTATCGATAGTGAGACCGATAGAGAGGGAAAATGAAATCGATGGTGAGACAAATCGACTAAAATATCGACCAACAAAAACTGGGAACCTGGAACCTGCCCCGCCTCCCAACGAAATCGGTCTGGAACCCGGAACAAGGGACCCGGGAACCCGGAACCGGGAACCTTGGAACCCAGCGGCCTACCAAAATCGGCCGCCAACTTTCGCCAAATCTTTCAAGATCCGCTAGGACCCCTTCAGTGCAAGCACTGATTGGGGAACAATGCACGGCAATGCAAAGCACTGCGATGCAAATGAGAGCAATGTGACGCAATGCAAAGCAATGCGAAGCAACGCAAAGCAATGCAACCCAATGCGAAGTTATGCAACGCACTGCATTGCATTGAAACATGTGTTCCAAAATAACGCTAAACAATACAGAGCAATGCAAACCGCACACCTCATCATCACCCTCCTCCCCCTCCCTTCCCTGTTGTGCTATGCTATACAGAAGGATGCCCAGCATTACCCAGCAATGAAACGCAGTGAGAACCAGTGCAAAGCAATGCCGAGCAATACCAAGCAACGTCAAGCAATGCAATGCAATGCAAACCAATGTAAAGCTTGGCAAAACAATGCCTCACAGGCTCAGTTGATTAGAAAAGAAATGATAACCCCCAAGTGCGAGCTTTTTGATTGGGGGGAATATTCGATTATGTGCAATCAAATTGTTCTGCTATTTCGAGATCGGGATCCTGTTGCAGCATTGGCCTCATTTCGGGAGCGGGGGAGGTGCCCTCCCCAGAATGCGGCCGGTGCCGCCTTGCTCGGCGGCCGAAATCCGCGACTTCCCATGGGAACGGGACCTGTGGCTCATCTGCGCCCCTTGATCCATGTTTGCAATCGCCTGATCATTTCAGGATCGGCGCTTTGACCGCATCGGTCAACATGGCACACTCGCCTAACGATGCAGGCCGCATTTTTGGATCCGAGTCCTCCCTGGGTCGTGGTCGTCTCCTGCCTTTCCCCCCCTGCGCCGCCCTGAGGAGGTCGTCCACTGCTTCTCCTACTCCTCCTCCTCCTCCTCCTCCTCCTGCTCCTCCTCCTCCTCATCCTCTTCCTCCTGCTCATCCACCGCCACCTCCTCCTCCACAACCTCCTCCACTGCACTCGGCTCCCCTTTCTGATGGCGCATCCCACGATGAGGCAGTGCTGAGATCCAGGTCCGCCAGAACACCCATCGGCGGATAGAGAACCAAGAGCAGAGCGCGATAGGATGATATGGGTGGAAGGGAAGGGGAAGGGATGGATGGGATCGGTGAGGTCGGCGATGGATAGAATGATGCTGATCCTCCTCCTCCTCCTCCTCCTCCTCCTCCTCCTCCGCCTCCTCCTTCTCCTCTCCTACCTCCCTCCCTCCCCTCCGCCCTCTCCTTCTGGTCCTCCCCCTCCTCTTCCTCGTCCCCCGCCATCTCCTCCTCGTTCTCCCCTTCCCCCCCCTCCCCCTCGTCTTCAGCGTAGTGCACACCCCCGGCAAACGTGCCCTCTGGCGCGTTTTCACTGATTTCCCCCTCCCCCTCCCCCTCCCCCCATGGTCAGCGACTAGCAGAGCAAGGGTCCCTTCCTCTCGCAGCGAAGACGAGGAGCAGGACGAGGAGGAGGAACAGGAGAAGGAGGAACAGGAGGAGGAGGGTGGAGGAGGGAGGAGGAGGATGACGAGGAGGAGGTGGAGGGAGCAAGAGTTCCGAGCTCCCCCTCCCCCTCCCCCCCTCCGCCTTGTCCCTTGCCCCCCTTGTCTGCACCGGCGGGGCGCAGCTTCGAGGTGCGGGCGCCGGTGTCCCGTCTCGGGGTGGCGCCTCGTCGCTAGGCGCTAGGCGTGCCTCGGCTCGCCTTGGCACAAGACATTCCGAAAGGCTCCCTCCTCGCCCAGCTCCCTCCCCCTCCATCCTCCTAACTCCAATCCCTCCTGCCTCCCTCCCGCCCTCCTGCTTCCTCCCTCCCTCCTACATCCCACCATCCCTCCGCCCTCCTAGTTACCTCCCTCCCTCCATCCCTCCCTCCCTCCATCCCCGAGGAAGGGACGCAGCCTGCGACGCGGACATGTCCAACGCACGGTCGTACGCGCACTCCACCGCGCGCGCCCGCCGCTCTGGCGCGAGGCCGCCGCCGCCGCCCTTCCGGGGCCCCTCTGGCGCCGAGGTGGTCAGGTGGACCCGGTTGCCCTGGACCTGGGTCGGAACGGTCGTCGTCTTATCCGTCGTCGTCGTCGTTTCAGTCGTCGTCGTGGTCGTCCCAGTCGTCGTCTGGTTCCTCGTTCCCCCCCACACCAATCCTCGTCCTCCTTATCCGTCCTCGTTCTCCTCCCCCTTTTCATTCCCCTTCTCCTCCTCCTCCTCGCCCCCTCCTCCACGCCCTCCTCCACCTCCTCCTCCGCCTCCCCTTCCGTCCACTTCTTCTTTCTTCCCTCCCGACTGCCCAAGAAACGCTAATGAGTCATGAGTTTCTCCAGGAGGAGACCAAGAGGGGGAACTCAAAGGGCCCTCAAGACACCCCACACGCCCCCAAGAGAGCTCCCCGAAGACGTGTCCCCCAAGAGAGCTCTCAAAAGGCCCACAGAAACTCCCGAGACGTTTCTACGACAATGACCCCCTGTCACGAGAGGCACCCAGGGATCCCAAGAACTCGACGATTCGGCGTAAACCAAGGGATCTCGATCTCGCGCCCTACTTGCAAAGAAAGGATATACATATTCCTAAACATAAAAGCATTCAAATTCAACAAGCTACAATAATATCAGGCCTCGAATTGTCTATCCAAAACCAATCCTGCTCCAACAGGCGGCGCTCGATCGATCGCCAATCTGGGTCCTTGCAATGCCACAGCCCACGCTCACTGTGCTCAAACGACAACGGCGGCATACAAACTGAGCACAGTAGCGCTATGATCAGCTACAGGCGTTAAACTTTTGAAGTAATGAAATCTGGAACGTCACATAAAAAAACAAATCGAGAAGATGAGGGCGGCGAGTTGGTGATCGTACACATTCCTTAAAGCCTCGCTCTAAACACCAAATTCTTCAAACACGTTCCCTCTGGGACACATGGCTGCTCAATGTAAGCGAATGTGTGTGGTGAACATTCATACCACCAGTTATATTAATACCTACACATTGATCGACAAGCGATTCGCTCGCTAACGACTCACTCGAATTAGTTCACCGTGTCACGGACGACGATACCAACAAGAAAAGTAATTCCAAGGGAACACTAAAAACCAACACAGCGCGCATTTGTTGCAACAGGTTCCCATCAGCTACTAGGATAAAAAGGATATTTGTTTTCGTAACGTGGCGCTCGCTCAAAACTTCTTCACTAGTTCTTGACAGTCCATTCAACATCGTGCACGAACTGCACGGCTGGATGGCAGCCCTTTTCTTAAACATGTGCCGATCGCTTCGGGACTTTTCCCCAAACAGTGCTTGAACTGTGGGTGTTGCCCTTGGGTTCCCCAAAAAGTGTTTGCACTTGGGGGGTTCTTACAGTCAACCATGATAGTAAGAATGGGGCAACTTTCCAAGGCTATCCTTGCATCCCCTCGGCATTATGCTGCGCTCCGCACGGAAAGCGTCAACACGGCGTTCCAAGGCCCTTGCATCCTTACCGCGCATCCTTACTATCCTGGTCGAGTGCACTTGCCGTCTAGAGATCTGGGCCCGTCTGTTGGCTTCGAGGCCCCGCTGCACCCCCCATTGCTCCCCCGTTGCACCCGCCCCGTTCGCATCGCCCGCTTTGCATTGCTTTGCACTGCGTGGCATCGCAACACGTCACGCTGCACCGTTCTGCATCGCACTGCGTTGTCTGGCACTGCTTTGCATGGCGTTGCTCTGCGTTACTTCGAATTGCATCGCATTGCTTCGCATTGCTTTGCACAACGTGCATTGCAGCACCTAGATTGCACAACGTTGATTCCACAACCTGGATTGCACCACCCAGATCGCAACACCGTATAATCAAAACAATAGTAGATCAATGCTTGAGATCCGCGCTCTCAGAGAGCACGTGAGCGCCTCACTTGCGCAGCCTCCAGGTTAGAGCAAGAATGTCATATAGGATAGCTGAACTGTGCAGAGGGGGGGTGCTCCTGCTGCTGCTGCTGTGCCTCGAGGGTACTTCGAGGGGCGAGGTCCGAAGGGACTGCTGTCTGCAACCCTCGGCGTCTGGAGGGGCGCGTCGGTCGCCAACGCGGGGCGCAAGATCTGCCAGGGGGGGGCCGCGGCAAGGCCCCAGGAACCACTTCTTGGGGCTCACGCTTGCTACCATCGCTGGCATATGTATATATATACACATACATACATACATACATACATACATACATACATACATACATACATACATACATACATACATACATACATACATACATATATATAGCATGATCTAGAATGGCGGGGCTTTGCCTGGCCCGCGTCGGGCGGGTGCCTCGTGGGCGCCCCGCGCGCCGGCCGGGCGTGGGCAGCCTTCGCTCGGGCGGGCGGCCGTGGGCGCCCCGACCGCTGGCACTGCACAGCCACCTTTCGCTCGGCGGGCGGCCGTGGGCACAAAGCCCCCCCGCGCGCTGGCCGGGCGTTTGGATCTCTCGTTGGACGCCCGAGTTATCCGGGGTAACTCGGGTCCGGGGTAACTCGGGTTCGGAATCCCGAAACAGGAGCCCGAGTTAGCCCTGACCCGAGTTACCCCTGATGATTCGGGGCTCTGATCTCGCTCGGCGGGCGGCCGTGGGCTCGTCGTTGGCGCCCCGCGCGCTGGCCAGGTTGTCGCGGTTTGAAGGGGGCCGGCAGGCCCGTCCAGAAGCTTCGCCGTGCGCGAAGCGCAGCTCCAGCTCTGCTGTACCGTAGCGTCGACAGTCCCAGTCGGAGGGTCGTCGCGGGAGCGACGGGCCATCTCAAGCGAAGGATGTTTTCGGTCTCGATGGCAAGTAGTATGCCTCGCAATTAGGCGCAATCATATGTTGACGGCCAGCCGCTTGAACACAAACGGCCGCGAACAAACTCTCGCTATCTCTCGCCCTTGTCCCAGCTCACTGTAGAGTCTGGGGGGAGGGAGCCGAAGCGTGAGTTCGCCGCCTCTAAGCAAAAACACTTTGTTAAAAAACAGGCAGCGAAAGGTGGGTCTGTAAGGAAGGGTAAGCAATTCACCTTGCGAGCACATTGCTCTGCATACGATTACTCCGCAGGCGGCCTCAGACGAAGCTGTCTGGCCAGCCCGATAAGGAGTATGACGTTTTAAGTCTGGCTTGAAGGATTGCGTGCCTCCCATCACCTCTCCAGGAGCGACAATCCAGAATATATTGTAACGAATTCGCGTCCCCTGGGCACAAAACCATGCAGAAAACAGTGCAATCGGGCTCCCGACGACGCACCCACTCATGAATTGATACAAATTCTCGCTCCCGAAGCTACGAAACCACCCCACAGAGGCTGCCCAGAAGCGCCATCGCCTCCAGAGCAGAAGAGCCTCTTATGCTTTCTTGATGGCTTCTGTATTGCGATATCTGTTCCGGGGTGCGCTGTTCAGCCCCCCCCCCTCGTTTCCTGAGAGTTCGGCTCTGGACCCGAGGCCGCAAGTTCTCACAAGGGCGCGCGCTCTCGAGGCCGCGAACCCTCGTGCAGCACCATGAGAGCGCCCTCTGGAGGCCACCGTCGCCACAGGCGCACGCACCCAGCCAGCCGGCCAAATCGGACAGCAAGCGAAGCAGCAAGCGAAGCAACAAGCGAAGCAGCAAGCGAAGCAGCAAATCGAACAGCAAGCGAAGCAGCAAGCGAAGCGAATCTGCCCCTCACCAATCGAAACAGCAGGCGAAGCAGCAGGTCCGCCTGCCTCCCGACCCGGCGTGGCCATGCAGGCAGCACGGATGGGGCGGCGGCAGAGGGCGGAAACCTCCCGGCGTGCATCCAGATCAAAAGCATACTGAAGACGCAGATGCTGGTCTGTGCTCACACATCTGATCAACGGTGCCCTCTCCATAATCTCCCAAGTGTCCCCACATCTCCCCCGTGAGCATTTCAGAGCGTGAATCGAGAATCAACAGAACGAAAGAGAGAGAGAATGAAAAACAACGAACAAAATGTACGGATAGACGCAAGACGGGCAGAGGCCGGCACAGGCTCTGGAACGAAGACGTAGCCGACATTGCTCCGCGGCGGACAGAGAATACCCTGGGTCCCGAATACAACACAAAAGCATGGGCAACCATCCAGACACATCGGGGACCCACTGACCTGGTTCCATGCAAGCAAGGGTCAGTCGGACTTTGCAAGATCCTGCGGGATCCTGCGCGCAAGCCCAGGTCAATGCACACCTAGCTCTGCAGGAACCTGCAAGATCCAGCGCCCTGGCTGACTCCCGTCTGCATTACCCCCCGCCCCAATGAGGGGCAACGATCGGGGGGAACTGGCACAGGGGGCACACATCGACCTGGAATCCGCGATACATCGCCGATAGATCAGCCATAGGACCCCGATAACGAATCCGCACGCTCCTGGGCAGCTTCGGGCAGTCGGGCCCCCATCGGCGATCAGCGGGCGATTGGGGGTCGATGCTTTCCCCCCCCTGTGCCTATCCCCCCTTTTCGTTACCCCCGACCCGAGGGTTCCCGAACACGTCCGAGCATCGAGATCGGCGGCGACGTCGACGACAGCGCTGACAACGGCGGCACATCGGGCGGCGGGCAGCGGCCGACCCTCGTGCAGTGGCCGTGCGCGGCCTCTTGGGAGGGAGGGGGGTGGCAGAAGGAGTTAGGAGGAAGGATGGGGGGGGTGAGGAGGAGGGAGGAGAGGGGGGGAGGAGGAGGGGGGGGGGTGAGGAGTAGCAGGAAGGAGGGAGGGTTGAGGGAGAGGGGAGAAGACGGAGGATGGCAGAGGAGGACGTCGAGAAGGACACAACGAGAGAGGAAGAAGGGACGGAAGGGAGGGAAGGGGGAGGAGACGGACCGAAATGAAGAGGAGGACGGATAGAGAAAAAGGACGGAGGAGACGGACGACACGATGGAGGAGGGCTCCATGAGATAAAAGAGGAGGGAGGGAGGAGGGAAGGGCGACGGGAAGAGGAAAGGAGAAAAGGACGAGGGAGGAGGAGCAACGAAGAAGCATATTCCCCTCAGGTCAGATAGCCCGCGGAGGTCTCGACATAGGTAAATATCGCATGATCTCGCGCCTCTGGGAGTCGCCCTGCGACAATGATGGGGTCCTCTCTCTTCGAGGCGGCCCCTCTGCCCCTCTGAGAGCTGTCCGCGCTGGACTATCCAAGGGTCATTTGCCGAAGGGCGCGCATAACAGGCAGGTGACCCCTTGGGAACTAGCGCGCACCTCGTCGCTCCCCCCCTCCCCATCAACGACGACCACCCCGCAACCGCGCCGAGTCGACGCAGCGTCGGGAGGTGGGACCAAATGCAGCAGGGGCCGCGTGCGGAGACGCTGACGCATAGGACGGCGCAACAGGCGACGACAGTGACGGGACACCAGCGGGATAGACACTGCCTTGCGCGACCGGCCCGGCGAGCCTCGAGCCAGTCTGAAGCCACTCCACTTGCCCTTGCCTCCCGCTCTCTTGCTCGCCGCCTTGATCTCCGCGATGACTCATGAATCCTCCCCTCCTGCCCTCCGCGTGGCGGGGTTCTGTCACCCCCGTCAGCACACCCTTCGCCGCGAGATGCTGGAAGACCACCATCCACATTTCCAGTGCCAACTTCTCCTGCATGCAAGTGGCCAAGCCCAAAGCGCTCTGAGTCGAAAGGTTGCCCGCTTTCTTGCGCAAGAAGTGAAGCGCGCCCGTCGCAATAGCTTGGGAAAACCGCTTCATCATCGCCGCTTTTAAATGCCGCCAGATGCCCCGCGTCCTCCTTGAAGGAACCGTCCTGGCCGATCTTGCCCACCGCCCACTTGAGCGCCGAGACGTGGACATGCGCGCGCGGGCCTCCGCGAGCCATGTAGTCCAGCCTCGCCTTGCTCCTCGCACTTCTTCAACACCTGCGAATCGAGCTCATCGGCTGCGCTGGCGGGCTCCAACTGCGCCGGCGTCACCTTCCTCCGCCATACAGGCCCCAGAGCCTGCGGCTCTCAGCGCCGCGATCTGGCGGGCCCCCACCACCGCCAGCCTCGCCAACGCCACTGGCGGCGCCTTCTCGCCCGCGTCGTCCACCTCGCCCTCGCTCGGGGCCTCGGGCAGGGCCGCCGATCCTGGGCCCCCCGTCGCCGCGCGCTTCCCCTGGCGGGCGCGTCCGCGCGCGATCCTCCTGCCGCGTCTGCCACGGGCGCGGCGGCACGCGGCACGGGGGATGAGCCATCCGGTGGCAGCGAAGGCCATGCCAGCTCCTGCCCCTGAAGGCGCGCGTGCTGCCGCTGAAGTGGCCCCGGCCCCGGCCCCTCCACGGCGCCCCCGCAATAGCGAGGCCTGTGGACTCCCCGCAGCAGGTGGTGTGAGACCGCGCGCGGGGGCGCTGGTTTGTCTTGGCCAGGGCGTGGGAGAAGTGTCGGATATGGCGTCGGTGTCGGAGGTGATCGATCCTTCCTCTCTGGGCCCTGGAGATCTCCTCGCAAGTCCTGTCATATCCCCCAATGCCTCTGCTCTCTCCATAGACCCCTCGACCGCACTTCGTTGCGATTTTGTCTGCGCTTGCATGGGTATACCCCGCCCCCCCCCCCTCCACGGGGCTGCGCCCGCCCTCTTCCCCCGCCGCCTCCAGGCCGCGCCACATCGGGGGATGGGGGGGGGGGCGCGATCGCGCGGCGAACCGATCGCTCCCGTCGAAAACCGAGCCGTGCCACGTCTCGTCGGAACTCCTCCTTCTCGATCGGGCGCCCTGGGCGCTTGCCGAGCCTCGGCATTGGCCCTGCTGCGTCGAGGCAGGCGGGCGCGGCGTATACGAAATCTGCCCTCCAGGGGCGCTCGCTCCGTGGAGGAGCACGGGCCGTCGAGCAAGTGGTGCTGCAGGGCATGGTGCCTTCAGCTTCGAGCTGGCATCGCTGACATTCGAGCGCCTTGGTCTCGATGCAAAGTCCAACGCTGGCGTCGCGAAAGACGGCGCGGCAGCTCGCGCTCTCTGACTGCCGCCCCCCATCTTCTAATGCAACCCTGTTGTCCAGTATGCGTTTGGACCCGTCCTCCCACGTCGCGCAAGCCCCCCCCTGCATTAGGGGAACAAAAAGTGACATGAACATAAAAACTTGGAGGTCCACGCGGATTTCGCGGATCGGCGCTGGGGCCCCCGGCGGCGCCTCCAGCGCCGCCCCTGGCCCGCTCCGCGCGCCAGGGAGGGGGGTCCAGCGCCGATCCGAGAAATCCGCGCGGAGCTCCGAGTGTTATGTTTATGCCAAATTTCTGTTCCCCGAATGCATGTTCATCTGTTCACCGCTCAACCACAAGGGCCCCGTGCCCTGTTGGAGAAACCCCCGAGCCAACCGCCGCCCGCCCCCGTGCACTCCACTGTGCTGCTTACACGTTGCTGCCACTCTGCCCGCCACGCGAGAACTCGCGATCCGCTTCCCCTCGCTGCCAAGACAGCCTGCCAGCGGCGGCGGGCGGTCCATGATCGCATCTGAGGCGCGCAACGTCTGAAAGGTTACGCCATGAGGGGTCGACAGGTCACCAGCGCACTGCTGGTAAGACATGCCTACCTCGCCTCCGCACCATTCTCCCGTTTGGACAAACGCGGCCAGAATGCCACCGTGCCCCCAGAACGCGCCTGACTACAGCAGGCTCGTGTCGCGACGACCCCAGCGTTAGTATCTGACACCGCGAAGATCGAGGGATCCTTTCATTTTGGCCGACTCTGGCCCGCTGGCGGCGTTCACTCTTGAATGCCCACAGCGGGGTCGCCGCCAAGTCGGCACGACACGAACCTACCGTACGTACCGTATCCCATACCTCGCACGCCGTGTTCTTCAAAAACTATGGCGGTCCCCAGAAGTCTCGACCCTCTTCCCAGGACCGGCGCTTCTCATCCCCCCGGATGTCTTTTGACGGCCTCGACGTCCCCGCGAGAGGCCCCGGCAGGCTGGAAATGAGACGTGACTTGTCTCCCAGCGTGAGGAGGCCTTGTTCTTGGGCCAAGACTCGGGGAGCTCTGCGCGACCATCCGAGCATCCCCCGAAACGCAAGCGCAGCCGGTGGAAGGTACCCCGAGGCGACAACACCGACTAGGAACCCGCGAAAGCCGACGACGACATCGTCGGCCCTCCCTCCTCATTCCTCCTTCATCCTTCCTCCTGCCTTCCAGCTTCCTCCTGCCTTCCTCCCTCCTCATCCTCCTCCTCCTCCTCCTCCCTCCTCCTCCTCCTCCTCCTCCTCCTCCTCCTCCTCCTCCTCCTCCTCCTCCTCCTCCTCCTCCTCCTCCTCCTCCTTCTCCTCCTCTTTCCTCCTCCTCCTCCTCCTCCTCCTCCTCCTCCTCCTCCTCCACCTCCTCCTCCTCCTCCTCCTCCTTCCTCTCCTCCTCCTCCTCCTCCTCCTCCTCCTCCTCCTCCTCCTCCTCCTCCTCCTCCTCCTCCTCCTCCTCCTCCTCCTCCTCCTCCTCCTCCTCCTCCTCCTCCTCCTCCCCTGGACCCCTCCCCGGACACCTCCTGTGGACCTCCCGCGGCGTGCCTCGCGCGGCAGCGGCGGCCTGACGCGCACCACGACGGAGACGCTGCCGCCGCCGCCGCGGGCCTCGAAGAGGGCGGCGGATGGGCGCGACCGGAGGCCCCGTGCCTTGTCCGTCCTCTCCCTCCTGCCTCATCCCTCCTCCTCCTCCTCCTCCTCCTTCTCCTCCGCCTCCTCGTCCTCGTCCTCCTCCTCCTCCTCCCCCCCTCCTCCTCCTCCTCCGTCATCTCGTCGTGGTTCTCCTCCGTCGTCGCCCCTCCTCCTTCTCCGTCCTCCGCCCGCCTCCTCCTCCTCCTCCTCGGATTGGCGCGGAGTGGCCCGCCCACAGGCACAGCGACGACGACGGCATCAGGACAAAGCCTCTGAGAGGTCTTCGCAAGAGCGACGAAAGGGCGATGATGCCGAATGAAGGGAGCATCGAGCCGTATCAGCCCAGATCAAGCCGAGGATTGAGCCTGATTATTCAATAATAACTATGCGGAGCTGCGCTGGATCGGGACAGTTCCCGGCCCAGGATATACCAGCGCTGATGCTGAACTGAACCTCCGAGGAGTAGCCTCCCGAACTGCCCTCAAGTAGAGACCTCCCAAATTGGGTCCGAGCAGACGGGGTCGGAGGATCCTGAAGCATCGCCGATGCATCGCCGATGCATCGGCGCCGTAGGGGAGGCATCAGCACGGTCGGCGTGGCGAGATTCGGGCTCCGCGTCGAGCCGCCTAGCCCATCCATCGGTGAGGCGTGGGGGCCACCAGCGGTCCCAAGCGGCCCGCGACCGTCCCGAGACGGCCTGGGATGGCCCACGGGACCTCCCAGGACGTGCCGCGGCCTCCAGGACGGCCCCAGCATCCCTGCAGGCAGCAGCATTCTCAGACAGAAAGTGTTCCCCCGATTGGGACCTGTCTGAAGGGTTTTTTCTGTTCGGAGAACCGGTGGGTGGGGGGAATGCGCTGACAGGCAATCCCCGGTCTACTTGGTCTCGGTTCCTTGGTTCCCTTGTCTTGGCTACGTGTTGACTTCCTAGGGTTCGTCGGTCTTGGCTCCCTGGCTTCTTGGCCTTGGTTCCTTTCTCTTGCTTCTGTGGTTCATAGTCTTGGTTCCTTGGTCTTGGTCGCTTGGTCACTTGTTCCTTGGTCTTGGCTCCTTGGTCCTCTGGTCTCGGTTCATTGGATCATTTGTCTTGGTTCCTTCCAGCCTCGCTGCGTAATGCCAGACAATGCCAAGCAATGCGAAGCAACGCCAATCAACGCAATCAAATGCCACGCAATGCGGCGCAATGCCGCGCAATGCCGTGAAAAGCAACGCATTGCCGCGCAATGCCGCGAAATGCCACGCAATGCTACCCAACGCCAGTCAACGCCGAGCAATGTCATGGAATGCCAAGAACATGCCAAGCACTGCTGCCGGACAAAACGTCCATGCAAAAAAAAATACAGTTCCTCTCATTGCAGCCGCGCCGGGTTCATGTCGGAAGAACTGCAAGGAACCATCGCGCCCGAGAGGAACCAGGAGCGTCTTCTGAGTGACATCATGGTGGAACAACAGTGCTGGAATAGAGGCAGAACAAGAACTGCACCACAATGATCTTCCGACGGTCCACGAGGATGTCCTGGATCGGCGCTGGATCCCACTCCCTGGCGAGCGGCGCGCGCCAGGGGCGGCGCTGGAGGCGCCGCCAAGGGAAGCCAAGGCAGACACAAGAAATCCGCGCGGAATGTCGAACGTTTAGAAGTTTGACCTCTTCGATGGAATCGTCCTAGAACCACCCCGGCTCCCCTCTTAGAGGCCTCCTAGACGGGGTCGGAGTAAATGGAGCGGAGGATCGCGACGAATCGAGAATGCATCGCCGATGCCTCGGCGATGCACCAGCGACGTCGGCGCAACGCATCGGCGACGTTCTTGTGGAGAAAAGGAGGCCCACATCAAGCCGCATCGCCGATGCATCGCCGATGCATCACCGATGCATCGGCGATGCGGCGCGATCCTTCGACCCCATCTACTCCGATCCCATCTAGGAGGCCTAGACCTTCTGAGTTCTGCGCCTCAGCCTGTTCGGACGCCGAGTGGACAGTCGAGCGGTCCTTGGCAGCTTCGTGGGAAATGAGTCCGCCTGGCCGCTGAGCAGGATCTCAGTGTCTCGGGCCCCTTCGGCGGTCTAGCGGGCTCAGACACTTCCTCCTTTTTCACGTGAGGCGAACATTAGGTGAGAACCTAATGCGTTCTTATGTCTCCTCCTCCTCCTCCTCCTCCTCCTCCTCCTCCTCCTCTCCTCCTTCTCCTGAACGGGGGGGCGATGGCAGGGGGATCGATGGGTAGGAGGAGGGAGGGAGGGGAGAGATGCAAACAGAGAGGGCACAGGGCTTGCCGCTGCGCTCTTGCAGCCACGAGGCGATTGGGGGGAGAGGAGGGGCGAGGCCAGAGGACGGGGGGGACATATAGGAAGGGGCCCCAGGACACACACATAAATACACACACATAAAATGATCCCCCATATTTCCATATTTTCTAGGTTTTTGTCTTCCCCCCCAACTTCCCATATTTTCAGATATTTTCTGGGAAATCGAGGATTAATTGTGTCTGTGTTTTTCCCCCTCCTGAGTAGAAGAAAAAAACAACATTCTGCACATCAGCTTGCGGAGGTCCGCGCGGAATTCTTGGGTCGGCGTCGAGCCCTCCGGAAGGGGTCTCCGTCTGTGCCTTTCTCTGCCACAGGTGTGCAGCTGTTTAGGGTCTTTTGCCGCGAGGATGCAGTGCATACCTGATGAGATTCGATGGAAGATCTGGAGGACGGAGGAGGGACAACCCAAAATCTCGGGTCACCACAACGTCGCACTGGGGCGTGCTGGGGCCATGGTTGGCCGCCTCGGGCACGTCCCGGAAATCGTCTCGAGCGGCATATCGGCGCCATCTGGAGGAAGAAGTGATGGGCAACGTTGGGAGTGACTGGCTCAGAGGGGGAAACATCGTCATGGAATCGGCGATACATCGCCGATCGATCGATGGCATGCCCCGGATAGCCCTGTGGGCCCGCACCCAGAGGCCTCCCAGCTGGGGTCGGAGTAACTAGCTGGGTGTCGGATGACCGCGCCGCATCGCGTCGATGCATCACGCCTTCATTCGTCTGCTGAGGTGAGGGGCAACCTTAGGAGGGCTTCTCGGCCAGGGGGGGAATATCGCCTTGGAATCGGCGATACGTCGCCGACAGATCGGCGAGAGGCCCAAGATAGCGAATCCGAAGGCTCCGGGGCGGGGAGGGGCTCTCGGACCCAGATCGGCGAGAAATGTGCGATTGAGGGTCGATGCGCCCGCCCCGTAGCTCGGGAAACCGCGTACGGCAGCTCTTGGTCGTCCCCATGGCGCCCTATGGCACGCCCAATCGCTCGCAAGGCGGACCTGATGCATCTCCCCCACATGGCGCCACTGGGCGCTATTCGTCGCTGTTGTGCGCCATTTGAGCTCTGTTCGGCGCTACTGGGCGCTGTTAGGCGCTCGTTGGCGCTGTTCACCGACTTACATTCAAACAAAGACGGGCGAAAGCCTTCGGGCCTTGCTATCTATCTCGGCCTATCCCCCCCACAGCGTTGGCCATGAAGAGGGAAGGGTACGCCTCTGGCGCCTGCCGCGGCATCGCGCCCAGCCCCGCGCGCGCGCCGCGTGCGAACGCGCGCTCGCCTCGGGCCCCCCGCGCGCTCCGCTGAGACCGCGGACGCGAGCGATCTCGGGAACCCTTGGCCCCTTGGCGGCGTTCACGGGGGGAAAATCCTGAGCGAAAAACATGCCCCCAAAGGCACGCGACTTCGCGCTTCGCGCTGCGCGACGCGCGAACAACTGCGCGCTCTCGCGCCGCACCCTAGGGGAGAAGAGGACGACGAGGAATCCGAGCCGACCCGCAAGCGCGACGCACCAATGACTTCGCGCCCTCGAGAGCGCCCCGAGTCCGTATCTGAGGCATCCCGGGCCAGGCCGCTCGGCCACGACAGCGCGGGACAACGGGCGTCTCGTCAAGGATGCTCCGCGCAAAAAGAGTATCCGTGCGACCGCGCATCCCCGGGATCGCGCCCCAGAACCCGGACCGCTAGGGCGTGGATTAGATGGACACGTTCACCGCCGAGCGAGCAGCCGAGAGAGGGGGCTCAGTCTAAGCAAATCTGCGAGGTCTGGAGGGGCCAGATCCAGATGGAGCGTGTCCGGACGGAGGCCGAATGCTCTGAACGGACCTCCTGCGCGGACTCGACTCACTCCGTACGGACCTCATCCTATCAGAAGAAACGCAAGCCCCACGGAAGAAACCCAAACGGAGACCGAGCACTCCGTGCGGACCTACTCCGCACGGACATCGCCTCCGATCAAGAGAGGCTGAGTCCAGACGGAGTACGCCCAGACGAAGATCGATCACTCCGTGGGGACCTACTCCGCATGGACATCGCATCCGATCAAGAGAGGGTGTGTCTGGACGGAGTAACAGCAAGCCCGGACGGAGACCGAGCACTCGGTGCGGACTTACTGCGCACGAGCTTAAGCATTCGATCAAGATAGCGTGAGTTCGGACGGAAGGTCTAACCTAAGACCGAGCACTCCGTACGGCCTTTCTTTGAGTGGAGAGACACGGGGACCATGACCAACATGTCGCGGAATGTTATGCCAACCTTGGTCATCGTCCATGTCGGCCACCGCCGACTCGCCACGATGATCCACGATGATCGACGGTAACCACGATCGAAACGACGCTTCCGCGTTAAGTCTTGGTCATGGTCCCCGTTCCCAGACCCACGACGTCATGCTTGTTCACAACGTCGGACCCCAAAGGTCTCGACCCATTCCCCAGGTCCAGTTGCTCATCCGTAGTCGTTGCTTGATATTCCCGAGGCCCAGAGAGGGCCCCCCAGCGGCTGAACGTGGCGAAAAACCTTCCGTCGAGAGTCTTAGGGGAGCGAACAATGACATAAACATAACATTTCTGAGGTCCGCGCGGATTTCTTTGATCCGCGCTGGACCCCCTCCCTGGCGCGCGGAGCGCGCCATGGGCGGTGCCGGAGGCGCCGCCAGGGGGGTCCAGCGCCGATCCGAGAAATCCGCGCGGACTTCCGATGTGTGATGTTCACGTGATCGTTCGTTCCCCCAATCTTTCGCGCGTCTTGGCCACGGCCCCGTGTCTTACCAGCCTCGAACTTATCCCTATTATCCCTGAGATCGACACGCCAAAAGGCGATGACAATCTTATGGATTCGCTCTCGAAAAATAAGGGAATCCCTAAGATCGGCATCGTGATGAGGAGATGCCCAGCATAGGGATAGGGATACGTTCCAGGCTGGTAAGTGCTCGCCTCCTCGGCCACTCCGGCGGCCTCGGCACCCGTCGAGGCCGAGCCCGCTAGGGCACCGCATGGGCTCGCTCCGCTGCGGCCGGCCTTCGGCCGAGCCCGGCTCGGAGAGGAGCCCCACACGAGGGCAGCCTCGCCCCGCCCACGCCCCCTCTCTGAGCAGGAGGAGGAGGAGGAGGAGGAGGAGGAGGAGGGGGAGAAGTAGGGGAATGAAGAGGAGGACGAGGAGGAGGAGGAGGAGGAGGAGGGAGGAGGAGGAGGAGGAGGAGGAGGAGGAGGAGGAGGAGGAGGGGAAGAAGGAGGAGCAGGGCCCACGCCCCCAGCAGTCCTGTACGGTAGGGGCCTGACCACAAGAAACCCAACCCTGAGACCCCGGGACGTCCATTGATCTTTGGTTCGGGAACGTCACGTTTTCCATCGCAAAACCATCGAAGCCCAAGAAACACATGGCGCCCTGGATGCGAGCAGGGTGTTTCTTGGCATGGGTCTCCACTGTAGTCAAGGTGCTGACATGACAACGGGCGCCTCGCTTCGCGCTTTGCGCTGCGCGGAGCGCGAACAACTTCGCGCTCTCGCGCCGCCCTCCCAAGGAGAATAGGAAGACTAGGATGAATTGGAGCCGAAGCGCGAAGCGCGAAGAACTGCGCGCCCTCGAGGGCGCCCCTGCATAAGGACCACTGCTGGCGCTTTGACGGTTCCTTCGATCCAGGTCGGGGGACCTATTCGTGGACGAGACCCGCCGTGTCCTGAAACGCAGCATCGTTCCTCATGTGGCGTTTCTTCTGACAAATCCCATAGCTGTATAGAACAAAAGAGAAGGTACACATCTCGTGCAAGCCACAAACGGTTCTTAGAACTTTCTTTGACGGGGCTATGGTAAGCCAGGATGCCTCGCCACTGCTTGACCTCTGCCTCTCCAGAACTCTGGACCATGGCACGATCAATCCTCGTCGAATCGGGCAAATCACATCGAATCAAAATGTGCCTCGGATCGGCCTGCATCGGCGAAGAATCGAGATCGAATCGGATCGGCCGCGCCAGGATGCACAGCAGCGCCGTGCAAGCGTCGGGCCGTATCGGATGGGCGGAATTGCGGAATCGAATCAGATCGAGCGGGCCGGGATCGAACACCGAATCGGATCGACAGGGTAGGGTGAGGGGGACGGCCTCCTGAAGAAGCGTCGATCCGCCCTCTCTCCGCCCGTGTGACCCTGGGACCCTCGCGAGGTCCATCTTGGCCGGGTGTCCGAACCACGCATAGCCATGGCAAGGAAAGCCTCTGGAGAAACCTAGATCCTTCCAGAGCGCCATCGTCGTCGCCGTTGACTCTGGCTCAAGAGATGGCCCTCCTTCCTGCGTTAGCCATCTGGCCGTCTCTGGAAGACCATGACAACGCTGCGAACGTCAACGTTGACTCCTCTTGGAAACGAAAGACGGTCGATGACATGGCCCTGTCGGTGTGAGAGCAGATGGCTAGACATCGGGCCACGCTGCCATTGCATCGGCGGCACGACGCTATATAGGATTAGGGACCCCAAGCACTCCATCACCATTCTGAAGGCAACGATCCTACTCATCCTGCTTCTCCTCCTCCTCCTCCTGCGAACCCGAGACCTCCATCGCTACGCTGTCTGCGATGGGGCCTGAACGTCTCCCAGAACCTCTGCAGCCTCTCTAGCCCCCTGGGACCAGTTCCTCAGCCGGGCAATTGTTGGATCTCCTGCTCCTCCTCCTCCTCCTCCTTCCTCCCTGCTCCCTCCTCCTCCTCCTCCTCGTCCTCCTCCTCCTCCTTTTCCTCGCCCTGCTGTCCTGGAGCCCGTCGGGCATGTACTCCCACAGCGGGACTTTAGACGAAGAATAAGACATGGCCAAAGACTACTCCAAACTAGCCAACAACAGTCAAAACAACGTCTCCTGACTATTTCTTGACTGTTTTTGAATATTCCTCCTGTAGAAGGACGTGCCCAACTTAAGCCTACGCAGTGCCCCCCTGCGGCAGGTCGGTCTGGGCGCCGGCGCGACCTTGTCCGCCAGAGCTCTTCCATACGACACCGCACTGGCTGCGCGCTATCGGTGGGCTGAATGGGGCTCACACATCATAACAATAAGCTGTTGGAGGTCCGCGCGGATTTCTTGGATCTGCGCTGGGCCACTCTCCCTAGCGAGCGTATTTGATCCAGGAGGGGTCCAGCGCAAATCCAAGAAATCCGCGCGAAACTCCAGAAAGGATTATGCTTATGCCGCTTTCTCATCTGAGGGGCTACGATAGGGGGGACTGGCATGAGTGGGGGGGGGACTTCTACCTGGAATCGGCCATGCATCGCCGATAGATCGGCGATGGGCCCCCGATAACAAATCCGCATGCTCCCGCGCAAATCGATGAAATCCGCCAGGACCTCCGAAAATTTGTGCCTGTGCCGTGCTCGGTCCCTCTGGCTGCTCGCTTGGCGCCGAGAGGTGCCCATGCCGACCGTTAGGTCGGGCATGTCCTCCCACAGGCGGATTTTGGAAGACCGAGGAAAAAGTGCCAACAAACATAGACTCAACAATGCTCAAACAAACAACAAAAACATCGTCCCCAGATGATTATGTTGACTATTTCTGAGTAAGTACCTTCCTGCTCAACAATGCTCAAACAAACAACAAAAACATCGTCCCCAGATGATTGTGTTGACTATTTCTGAGTACCTTCCTCCTGTAGAGGGACAAGTCTGAGTACCTTCCTCCTGTACTTTTTGACTATTTCTGAGTACCTTCCTCCTGGGGGACAAGTCTGATTTTGTTGACTATTTCTGAGTACCTTCCTCCTGTCGAGGGACAAGACCGCCTTGGCCTCCGCAAGCAGTCTCGGGCGGCACCTGCTGTGCGGGGCACCGGCCCCGCGGCGCCCGGGCCTCCCCCCACTCGGGCGAGCGCACGAGCGGAGGGGGGGGAGGGAGGAGGGAGGAGGGAGGGAGGAGGGAGGGGGGAGGAGGGGGGAGGAGGGAGGAGGGAGGAGGAGGAGGAGGAGGAGGAGGAGAGGGAGGAGGAGAAGGAGGGAGGTGGGAGGAGGAGGAGGGAGGGAGGGAGGGAGGGAGGGAGGGAGGACTATGTTATTCCGGACGGCCCCCGGGGGGTCCCCGAGGGGCCGGGCGACTCCCCGGCGCGGGACAACATCCGCCCCCTGGGCCTTCGGCTCCCGCGCCTTGGGGAACCGGGGGCGCCGCTGCCCCAGGGGACCCCAGGGGGTACCTTTCACGGGGGAGCGCGGCGCCCCCGTCCGCCAAGGGGTGTGGGATGGGCGCGTCCGGTCCCCCCACAACGCCTCAGCCGCGGGTCCGCGTGGCCGCGAGGGGGGCGGCCCCCTCCCACAGCACCATCTCCCACCCCGGGCCCCCCCTGCGAAGGGAAGCGCGGGGGGGAGGGGCGGGGGGGAGGAGGCGACCATCCTCTGCGGCACCGTCGGGGCGCTAACGTCCGCGCCCCGCGTGGCCGAGTTCGGCCGGAACTCGGCCACGCGCCGGACGGGCGGCGGCGCCCTCCCCCCCGCGCGCCGGCACCCCAGCGGCACCCCCCCCGAGCCCCCAACGAGGAGAGGAAAAGGAAGGGGAGGTGGGGGTGGGCGGCCTTCCCCTGGGGCCCGCGGCCCCGTCAGCGCTCCCGTCCGCGCCCCGCGTGGCCGAGTTCGGCCGGAACTCGTCCACGCGCGGCGCGGGCGGTGGCGCCCTCCCACCAGCGCGCCGGCCCCCCAACAGCCATCCCCCGAGCCCCCCGCGAAAAGAACCAAGGGGGGGAGGAGGGGAGAGGGCAACCAGCCACTGGGCTTGGCGGCGGTTAAGGGGGGGTCCAATATGTCCCCGGGGGGTGGTGCCCTTGGCAAGGGAGGGAGGGAGGGAGGGAGGAGGAGGAGGAGGAGGAGGAGGAGGAGGAGGAGGAGGAGGAGCGCCAACCGAGTTAGAGCAACAACTCCTTCATCACCATAGAGCGGAAGCAAGCCTGCCGCGCCCTTGCGCGAATGGCCTCCGCTGCATACTTCCGAGCTGCACGCCTCCCGAGGACCCCTCTCCTGCGGCAGGCATTGAAAGAAGTGAACAATAGATCAGAGGCAAGAGCGATGGCATGCTGCTGCTCGCGCGCAAGACAAGGGGAGAGAGTGGCGGATGATGAGGGCCACCTGTGGGGCAAAATACTGGCAAGAGGGTCAATCCCCCAGGACGGGGGGAGCTGGGGAAGAAGTTTCCTAACACAGGGAACCGCAACAGGACACGAAAAATAATGAGGAATGGTGTCGTTGCCAGGGCCCGAGCACCCGAAAACACACTGGGCAGTAGCTTGTCGAAACCTCCTAGTCGTTGGCCAGGCGTTATATAGGGATTTGAGGACGGATGTAATTACAAAACTAGGGAGCTTCAGGCCTACAGTATTCACACGAATAACAGTCAGATCAGCGTCAGCAGGAGTACAGGACTTATCCCAATATAACATTCTATGGATGACGAGTTCGGCAGGAACGACATATTCACGTTTCCGAAGGAGGAACTTGGTGATAGCTTGCTGGAGTAGTTTGGGTGGCTTGAGCGAAGGGGCATAAGGAATAGCCATATACTTATCATATTCGGCTTTCATGAAGTAGAGGATAGACTGCTTGAAAAACGGGTGCAACTTGTATGCCGGGCAAAATTCATCATCATCTTCAGCTGCAGAGAGCCGATCACATATCACCTGAAACTGCTCAGACCTGATCGCTGTCCTCAACATTGAGGCACGGGCGAGAATACTGATGGACCTGCATTCGAGCGGCAACCCCAACTGCTTCAGGTGGAACATGGCTTTGGGGGGGAAAGAGTGGCGAGGGGCCCGAGGCAGACGCTGATGACATTCTCTTTCTTGCCTGATCAAGGCTTTGCTGGGCGGGTAAAATTGCCCCACATGCGAGCAGACAGGTACAGCATAAGTGTTGAACGCTTGGATGCTATTCACAAAACTGAGGCCCAGGTTGAGCACGTCACCGGTGCGGGAGCGCAGCTTTTTGGCCACAGGGTCCCAAGAGGAGCGGAAGCCATCCCAACCGATAGTGACCCCAAGGAGTTTCCCAGACCGTTGAATGAGGAACTTAGAGACGTTAAGCCCACGAGTTTGAAACCCTTGCACGACCTCATTTGCCTCAGCGATGTTGAGCATCACTATCACACACTTCTGGAGGTTGAGGTGCAATCCTGTAACAGCACCTGCCACCAGCAGCCGCTTGGTGATGTAGGGCAAAGACTTAAACAGGTCCCTGGCGACAACCGACAGGTCGTCCGCAAAGGCACTGAGCTCGAACTCCAGACGAGGCCGTAGCTGCAGGATATATCGAACAACGGGGTCCAGGACCAGGGCGAACAAAACTCCGCTCAAAGGACAGCCTTGTTTCATTCCCCGAAGGGCTTCGTAGCCAAATCTTCCAAAATCTCCCAGGGTAATGCGCGTCCAAACATCTTCGTACAACGCAGCTATAGCACCCGTCAGCCGAAAGGGAAGCCCCATTCGGTGCAGAACAAAAAAGATCCAGCTGTGCCAGACGCTCGGGAAGGCGTTCTTAAAGTCGAAGAGGGCGACACCACTCTTCAACTCGCGAAAGACCACGCCCCAGACCGTCATCATCCCCTCGATCGAAATAATGTTGTCATTCATCATCCTCCCCTTCACGAATCCCCTCTGGACGTCATGGCAGGTTTCGGCGGCGACGTGGTTAAGGACCGAGGCGATGGCGGCACTAACGAGTTTATTGTCAGTGTTCGATAATGACAAGGGACGAACGGCATTGACCTCTCTCACTTCCTCCCCCTCATTCTCGATCTCTCCTTTCGGTGAGAATACAGCACGGCAATGGTTAAAATGAGGATGGAGACGGCCCGATCGAAGGATGTGACGATACAGGTCAAACAAGGCGGTTCGGGCGACCAAGCCACCATGCCGCCGCGCAGAGTACGGGACTCCGTCTGGGCCTGCAGCTGAATCATGCTTCTTTGCCTGAAGCAGCTCAAAGAAGGCGGACTCCTCCAGAATCCAGTCATATCTCTGGTGAGATGCAGTCACATACTGTTCACCTGAGCCATCTACTGTTTGGATGAACCCAACCAGCGGATGAGCGTCCCCTGGAGCATCGTTATCGGCAAGATTTTCAGGTTCATGTCGATTATCAAAAACTTGTCCCCAATGGCGGGCCAGAAGATGTGCAGCCTCGTTAGGATCAGAATGCACCTCACCATCAGGGCCACGAACAGCGGAGAGCCTGATGCGCGGCCGTGCCGCAGCCCATGCAGAAGACAGGCGGCGAACTCTACGGATAGCCTGCTCTGCAGCAACGGAACCTTCGGGCATATCTCGCAGAACCTGTTGCTCCTCCTACTCATACAGTGATATCATAAGCTCTGCTAGATGAGTATGAAATGCACCTTGATCTATCCAACACATGGTACTCGGGTTAAAAAACGTAAACAACTTGCGATACCCACGACAAGCACGGAAGGCGTGCACATTGCTGGCAGAGCGGGCAGCGCGAACAAGCTTGAGAGAGCAGGCCGCTCTCTCTGGGTCAGACTTGGCCCCTGCAACCTCCACGAAGCGGCGAACATCCCCAGCAGCGATGTGAAATATTTCTTTTATCTCAGCAACTCGAAGTTGAGGTTCATTACTTAGACTAGTAGCTGCAATGTGATCTTCCACGTACTCCTGAAACTGGGGGTGACGAGCAATCCAAGAAGGGATGTTCTGCATGCTGGCTTCAGGGGCGCGAGGAGGGCGAATGCACAAAAAGACGGGGACGTGGTCTGAGGGCTCATCCTTCGCGGTGACCTCCCAGAAGACACCTGTGTTCGGCCTATGGTCTAGCATAGTGGGAGTGTCCAAGTTAATGTATAACCGGTCGAGCCTTGCATATGACTGACGCCCACGGATAACTGCACGATGTGTAAAAGCAGTCTGCTCTACCTCGCTGTATGACGGGAAGATACTGTCGAAAACTGTAGCAAGCCTGGATGGAGAGGGAGATGAGTGCGGAGGAAGGACGTAGTACCTGGCTTCACCTTGCTCGTGATAGTTGAAATCACCCATGATAATGCTGCATGCCTGAAACTGAGGAAGGAGATGACGCGAGAGACGACTGCGAACGTTACGATTATAGCCTTCAGACCAGTCTGGATCCAAGTGAAGCCCCGACAACTGCAGGATGCCTTTGCTCCCGACAAGCGTGAGAGAGAGGATGCGACCGTGGATGCACTGATACTCAGAGACAGAATCGAACAGCGATATCAGAGTTTTCCTGACAAGGAACACAATACCCCCAGCATGAGCATCCTCGACAAAAGACCCGAAGACCTGGAAGTCCTGATAGTCTTTCTCCAGAGCACTGAGGTCCCCCACCTGACCGTGAGTCTCCTGTACACAGATTACATCCATTTTCCTCGAAAGCCTGGCCAACGCTTTAAACTTTTTGACGCCATGAAGGAAGGGGGTGGAAGGGGAGTGAAAAAGAGTCTGTGCATTCCACGAGCACACGCGCAGCGGCTGCACGGGGAGAAAAGGCTTGGCCACCCTAGGGCCAAAGAGCTCGTGCTGGCAAGGGCCTACTGTACCCCCAGTAGACCATGAGGCTGGAGTGGAGCTGGTGCCTGACGATGGCAAGGTGGAAGGCGGTGGCGAAGAGGCAGAAGTAGACGCAGTACTCCCAGGACTGCTGGTACTTGGCGCCGACGCCGGTGCCGAGGGGGGTGCAGAAGAGGCCGCAGAAAGAGAAGTAGAGGAACATAAATAGACATTGAATTCTGAACCAGCCTCCGATGAGCGTGACGATTGTGTTTGCTAGATGTAGGCACCACGAGTGTTGATGTCCGCCATGATCGTGCTCAGCTTGTCTACGTCGATCTCGAAGTAGTCGCACGTAGGCTGGTCCACGTCGAAGGTGAAGGCGGCATGATTCACATCAGTGCAAGTCACCAGAGGCCATACATCCTCACCGTCAGTCCAATGAACGGTGCCCTTGTAGCCATTGATGATGGGCTTGCTCTGCGCCGTGTACTTTGGGCTCTCAGCAAAGAGCTCGATGATCGGGTCCCAGCATCGGCTGAGGGCGCGCTGGGTGGTTCTGACGTCCTTCGGCAAATCCGTCCGAGACTTGAGGAAGTGGATCCCGCCATCCCTGGGGTCCTGCCATGTGGCGTGGGCATTGTTGAAGACCTCCGAGAACTCTTTCGCCAGGGCCTCGCTGGTGAAGGTGAGACTGTACGACTGACTAATCCGATGAAACTGAGGGGTTACATTGTTGACCATGATGTCCGTCATGATCTGGCTCTTGACCTGCTCAAAGTGAGCTTGGCGTTTGCTGGCGAGCAAGGGCCTGGGAAAAGATCCAATCCATCTGCGGCACTTGTCGAATGAGTATGAGCGAGAATTGAGCGGTCCTGGCGGTGCTGGCACGTTTGCTTCGGGTTCACCTTCATGCCGATTGCGTTTGTGCCTGGGCTCGCTGTCCTGCCGTCGACTCTCCGAAGAGGAAGAGCTCGGAGCACCAGTCGAACTTGATCCCCTGGTCTGAGCCTGCAGAATGGCGATCGCGGCCGTGTGCTTGTTCACTGTCTCCTGAACTGACTTCAGATGTGCCGTCTGAATCGCTATGGCAGCATTCTGGTCATCAAGCCTCAAGTTGACTGAGTTTGAGAGCACTCCAAACTGCTCTGTGAAGCTTGACTGAATGGAGGTCTGCATGGCCTGGATCTGCTGCGTAATGCTGGCATTCAGATTATTCTGCATCTGATTCATGAGCTCCGTCATGGAAGCGTCCGCCATGGCACGAGTGAGTGCGCTGCGCACTCGGACAAAGAGGAGAAAATTGTGTCCGCCTGGGCTCGCACCCAGATCGCCCCCTGAAGAGGGCTGCCCGCTCAGTGCGACTGGGCAAAGGGAAATCCTGCTGCCGCTGTTGGCACTTGAGCCAAAATGGCAACGGAGGAGGAGGAGGAGGAGGAGGAGGAGGAGGAGGAGGAGGAGGAGGAGGAGGAGGAGGAGGAGGAGGAGGAGGGAGGAGGGGAGGAGGGAGGGAGGAGGGAGGGAGGGTGGGAGGAGGGAGGAGTGAGGAGGGAGGGAGGGAAGAGGGAGGAGTGAGGAGGAGGAGGAGGAAGAGGGAGGATTGAGGAGGGATGGAGGAGGAGGGTTTGAGGGAGGAGAACCCCCCCCTGGCGCTGGGGGGGGGCGCGAGGGCAGCGGCCGTCCCAGGAGGCACGGGGCCTCTCGCGAGAGCCCCCCGCTGCCTTCGAGAGGCGCGGGCGCCCGCCCCCACCCCCGCCTCTCCTACAGGATCCGGCTTGAATAAGGACCACTTGCGTTTCAAAAGGGGCTCGGCTGTTCCTTTGGCATGCGCTCCGCTTCCTTTTTGGTGGCGAGCCTCCCTGGTGCTCCTTGGAGAAGGGGGCGCCGCTTCTTATGTATGGTTCGTTCGGTCAGGCCGAATCCTGTAGCATCGGAGGAGATCAGGAACAAGGACAGGTTAACGGGCGAAGAAAGTTATGACATACACTTGTTCGCCGTCGGGGACGCCTGTCCCAGGGCGGCTGCAGACTCTATGCCCCTACGGTGGCACGGCAGCGTATAAACCTTCCAGCCGCCCTGGGACAGGCGCCCCCCGGTGACGGAGAAGTTTATGCTATACCGTTCTTCGCCCGCTGAGTAGGAGGATGGAGGGCATAGGCGGGGGACGCATAGATCTTCAATCGCCCGCTGATCGACACTTCGATCGCACCTCTTCCAAAACCCCCGACGTGATGGGTTTTTGTTCATGACGTCGGCCCCCAGAAGTCTCGGCCCGACGGACAGGCTTTTCATCCTGAGTCGTTATGTTGACGATCGTTATGTTGACGATCCTGGGGCCCAGCGAGGGCCCCCATGAGGCCGAAAAACCACAAAGAACATGTCGTCGTGCTCTTTTCATGAAGCGAGGGGTCTGGGCTCGCTCTGTCGAGAGAGGGCCTCGTGCGCGAGGTGGCGCGGCGCGCGGCGCCCTCTTTGCTAACACAAAGGACGCCGCTGGCGCCCGACACCGTCTCAGCAGGGCGCGCGGCGCCGCGCGCCGCTGCCGGGATCATAAGCGCCGCAGCCCCGCCTCGTCGCCCAGGAGGACGTAAGCTCTAGACACCCGCACCGATCGTTCGGGCGGGTGGCAAGTACGGGGTGACCCACATGGGAGGTCAAGACAAGGGGCCCTACAGGGCCAGCAGGGGCCAAAAGGGGGCCCGAAACCCCCTCAGGTAGGTCACCCCCCATGTCTGCCCGCCCGAATCGCGCTCCAGGAAGGGAAGCCCGGGAAACCCTCCTCAGGAGGCGGGCACGGCGTACGGGTTGAAGGGCCGGGCGTCGGACGGGGCCTGCGCGGGCGGGGGGGGGGGCGGGAGGCAGCCACACCGATCCCGCCTCGTCGGTCCCTCTCGATCCGCATCGGCCATCGAGGCTGCACACGGTGACACACCTCCAGTGGGCCTGCGCGGGCGAGCGGGTTGAACACCACACATTGGCACGAAGGGAGCTCGGGGCGGACGAAAGGGGGGGGATAGCACAGGGGGGTAACTGGCTTTCACTGTGAAGTGCTGAGGAAAGCGCCCGGCGGCGGAGCCGAAACCAGCTGCACGCAACAACTTTAGCCGAGAAGCGGATCCTGCGGGACTTGTTTTCGCTGTCTTCTGGTCTCTTGGCGCACTCCACGGGACATGGGACGGTCACGACTCAGGATGAAGAGGTGGTCCTCGGGAGAGCCCTGGTGTCTAGGACCCCTACCACCTCCCCTGCGTGGCGAAACTTTGTGAACTTTACCCCTGAAAAAAAAACAGATTCCTGGAATATCTGGCCAGGGGTCAGAATCTGAACGGATGTCTGCAACCGAGTGAGCCCCAGCAGGGAAATCCGATCGTCCAATGTCGACTGATCCTGCAAGGGCAATTCTTTTGCGTCCCCAGAAGCACCTGGATGGACGAAGAGTGCTAGAAAAACAACCGTGTAATCACCTCAGGGGCAGCGAGCCTCTTCCGAATCCGTCCTTTTCCTTCTTTCTGCCTCTGGGCTGTAGATCACATTTTTATTCACGATGTGCACCCCCGAAAGACTGGACTTCTTCCCTGGGACTCGTCTTTCATCCCGAGTCGTTCCTTGAAGGTCCGGGATGCCGAAGGCTGTCAAAACTGCCCGGACGTGATGCTGCACGGTGCGGGAAGGTCTGAGACAGTGCAAATGTGAGGAGAGGAACGACACGAGGGGACCAGCGAGGGGGGGGGGACATTGAGCTGAAATCGGCGATGTACGATGCAACCTCATGCAGATGTGCGATGGGAATGCCGATAACAAGTCCGCACGTGTCTGAGCGGAGTGGGCTGTCAGGCCCCCATCGGTGATGATTCGACAAGCGGGGGTCGATGCGCTCCACCCTGAGCAGATCCTTCACTCGAACGTCACCCATACCATAGGAGAATAGCATTCAGTGGCATAGCTAGCATACCATAGTTTGGTTTCTGGGGGTGGCTCCGACAAGCACGGCGGCGAAGCAACATGCACAGATGGGTGTCATACTGGAGGGAGATCACGAAAGCTGCTATATAGGAAGAAGTGTGCGCACACAAATGCTCTTGAGCAAGAGTGACTTGAGCCACAATTGCTGCGGAAGTGCCGAGCGTCATCTTGGGTTATCATGAACCTATGTTGGGCCCCCCTTGGACCCTCCTGGCGACCATCTCGGGCTCTAGTGGAACCCTCTGTAGGTCCAGTCGGGCCGTTTAAGGCAGTGCTCGGGACTCCCCTGGGCTGCCTCGATAGAAGCCACACGCATGCACCTGCAATCAAAACACAAAGGGCCCAGGACTTGCAGTTCAGGCCTCCAGCAAGATGCCACCGAACGCAAGGGGCTGTCACAAGGTCCACAGTGCCACGCCTGCGGGCGTCTGCGCATGGTGGGCCTGAACCATTTGAACATAGTCGCGTCGAGAGAGTATGTGGAGCGCTGGAAAGCAGAACGCGGCACAACCACCTTTAATCGATATCACTCGATATATGCACACGGCAGAACACGGCACAACCACCTTTAGTTCTGTATGCATATATATATATATGTATATATATAGAAAGAGAAATCGATACCTCAGCCTGCGCTGATCCAAAACAAATGAGAGGGCAGGAGGAGGACGAGAGGACGATGGGAAACGCCCAAGATTAGCACTTTCGCTTCTTGGCCTGTCACGCGGCGCACAGCAGCCCAAAAAGCCCCACTAATCAACCCAAAAAACCCCGAATGCCCCAAAGAAGGCTCCCAGACGGCACAAACGGGCCCCCAGACGGCACAAACGGGCCCTAACAAGGCCCGAAACCACCAGGGAGAGCACCAGGACGGTCCCGCGAGAAGGGCCCGAGGGGAAACCCGAATGGAGAATTTGAGCACTTCGCCCCGAAAGAAAAAAAATATATGAAAGGGCACCGAAATGCATCCAGAAGGCCCTGACGGGGATCCACAATGCCTCCGAATGACCCCGGGGCCCAGAGGCGGCCCTTCGTTGACGAAGACCAAGAAGCAAAATGAAAATACAAGGACTTACCAACGAACTTCTTCTCTTATTCCCCACGCAAAGATCGTTCACCAAGGGCCCCCCGGACCCTTCCCAGAATCCAGTCGCAATCGTTTTCCCAAATGCATCCAGCCGCAGCGACAGGGGAGGGGCCCGGAACCCCCCCAACCACAACGAACCTGCCGAGTCCGACGGGCTACTCCGCACAAGATCGTTCCCCAAACCTCCCCTTGGGTCCGCAGATGCCATTTCTCGCCCCAAGTCCGTCCGGTTTGAAAATCCTGGGGCCCAGCAGCGGCCCCCGGAAACCGAAACCTATCCAACACAAAAGCTGTTCAAACACAAATCTCTGGAAAGGCGGCTGGAACTGCAGCGGGCATCTACCTCGATCGAGGAGAGGAAGAAGAAGAAGAAGAAGAAGAAGAAGAGGAGAAGGACGAGGAGGAGAAGGAGGAAGAGGACCAACAAAAAAAAATCGTCGTCGCCGCCGATGTCTTACAAATTTTCGCGGTCTTTCGACCACCCGAGGCATCTCTTCGAATCCGGGGCCACCGCCGAGGGTCTGGAATGAGAATCGACCTTCCTGGCCGGCGCCACCCCTTCGCAAAGGAAGGGTCACGGCCCACTGGCTGCAACTGTCTTCCCACGGAAGAGCGTGACCGATATCAAACGAAGGATGCGTGTCCGACTGATGCCGCTCGCTCGCTCGCTCGTATCAACCGCGCGCTTGGGATCACATTGCGAGCTCTCTTGGGCCGTCCGAGTGCCGAGCTTCATTTCTTTTTTGTCCGCCTGAGGCCCACCATCGAACATAAACGCCTCCTGCCTGGCTAGTGTGGCCCCTTCTACTGAAACAACAAAAGAACGTGTACTGAAACAAATCATTATAATAGAAATAAAACGAGGCCTGAAGAGAAAGAGAGAGTTAGGTCTAGGATGAGAGAGAGAGGGACGTGCACGCGGGGAAGACAGACGAGGGACAGGCAAGGGGGGCAGCGCAGGGGAAGGCAGAGACTCTCTGCAACTGTCTTCCCACGGGAGAGCGTCAACGAGATCAAACGAAGGATGCGTGTCCGACTGATCCCGTTGGATATAAGTCTGCATACATAGAAAGCTTTGTAAGCGTCTGACAGTCATCAGGAGGAGAGGTCGCGTCTTCGTGGTCGTCCTCTCCCAGTAGACCTCCAACAGCGAACCCTGCTCGCATCAAGTTCTTCGCGAACACATTCAAATACTGAATGCCACTATCTGTGTGTCCATGAACGACCTTTAACTGCACCGGACCGAACGCAATCCATTGCGGGGTCTCGACGGCACTTTGCGATGCACTAAAACGGTACCCTCCAGCTTGTTTTGACTCTGCCCAAGCACCTGTGACGTTCAATACTTGGAAATACATATCCGCACAGTGCCCACCCAATCGGCGCGCATCGGCTTGCACACGAAGCAATGCGTCTTCATGGTTCATTCCACGAGGGATGTTTATCAGGACATGCTTGCCTGGCTGCATCAAGTCGAAGCGCTCGCCATGAACGTTTTGAAGGTGGGGGTCGCCAGTGGCTGCCACGCCGCTAACTTCAGGAGTCGGGGCAGGCGTCGGGAAAGGCGTTGGGAAGGCCGTCGGGAAGGCCGTGGGGAAGGGCGTCGGGTAGGGCGTCGGGCTCGGCGTCGGGGAGACCGTCGGGTCGTCTTCGCTTTTGATCCACATCTCCTTCGCTGCAACGTGGTAGTAAATACCAGGACCTGTCCTGGGTTCATATCCTCCCCCGTCGCGCGTGATTCCCGCGCAACCAGCATTCGCGCTGCAGATTGCCTGGGCTTCGGCGAGCGTTGCCATCCAGCAGCGACACTTACATCCCCCGCTCATTGGGCACCCTGACCAGCTTGGCCACGTGGAGTCCAGATTGCACGATCCTGAATTGCTTTGACAATCGGTGTACGCATATGAGGTTGCGACAGAAGAGCTCTCATTGTCTCCCACACTGGACTTGGTCAGCTGCGTGACCTGCTTCGCGCCCCCGAGCACGAATGCGGCGCCAGGGGTGGCTCCGACAAGCACGGCGGCGAAGCAACATGCACAGATGGGTGTCATACTGGAGGGAGATCACGAAAGCTGCTATATAGGAAGAAGTGTGCGCACACAAATGCTCTTGAGCAAGAGTGACTTGAGCCACAATGGCTGCGGAAGTGCCGAGCGTCATCTTGGGTTATCATGAACCTATGTTGGGCCCCCTTGGACCCTCCTGGCGACCATCTCGGGCTCTAGTGGAACCCTCTGTAGGTCCAGTCGGGCCGTTTAAGGCAGTGCTCGGGACTCCCCTGGGCTGCCTCGATAGAAGCCACACGCATGCACCTGCAATCAAAACACAAAGGGCCCAGGACTTGCAGTTCAGGCCTCCAGCAAGATGCCACCGAACGCAAGGGGCTGTCACAAGGTCCACAGTGTCACGCCTGCGGGCGTCTGCGCATGGTGGGCCTGAACCATTTGAACATAGTCGCGTCGAGAGGTTACGTGGTGATGAGATAGTATGCCGATGGACAACAATATCTCTTTTCATCTTGAGCCAAAATGGGCGCACGGAGGAGGGTGTCAGAATCACTCCTCCTCGGGCCTGGCCGCAAACCGGCCAGGCACGACCTAAGTCGTACGCGGGCGCGCCCGAGCCGACGCGCCCAGCTCATCAGCTAGGCTGCGGCCATGCCGCGAGCCCCTCACTCCGCCCGGCGCGATCATACCGCCGCCGGCGGAACCTCATCCAGCCCCACAGGTAGCGGAGCATGGATTCGATCCACTCCATCACTTGAAGTCCTTCTGAGTCGAA